TTTCATCAATCCAACAATCCGCATAATAAAATTAACAATTGAAACAAACAATTTCCTGGTTCTAGTGATCAAACAGAAACAAATTTTTACTAAAAAATTTTACATTATAAGAATTATTAATTCATTCTCACCTCTTAGTTACCTTTGTACAATTGTTTCCCAACACAAAAGATTTAACAATTTCGAGAATTTAAACAGAAACCATATTCCGACAAACTCCTAATGATCCACCGAAAACATACCGTCTCAATAACAACACATGTACCAAGTATTATCGTAAATATACCTCTTATATATTACTTCATTATATTACATTGTGGAAAGGGTACCTATTATCATTGATTGGAATTCTTAACAGCGGTATATATGATTCTGGGAATTTTTCCGTGTTAGTTTGCTTATTTAAGCCATTCTTTCGTCTCTATATATAAATCATTTCAGCTGTCAATCTCTTTTATAAAAATAATTCATTATTTAAAATTTGAATGTCATCCCAATTTAGTTTATGTTCTAATTTAATCTGATGTTCTGCTACTACAGACAACGATTCTTTTTGTTTTTTTAAATCTGCTTTGTGTTCTTTAATTCTTGTGCCTAGCTTTCTTTTTGTTTGGCCTACATATGATGCACCACAGTTCTGACAATTTACTTTATATACTACCTCAGATCTCTCCATTTTCTCCAAACTATCCTTTCCCAATTTAATCACAAAATTTAGATTGTTCATAGGTTTGTATCAGGGTTGGTAAAGACTAATGTTTTTTTTTTTAAAAATAAAACATATTATGTTTCTTCTTGAATATGTTTTTAATGCTTCAAATATGCTTTGAACAGTACTATAAAAAAAACATATTTAAAACATATTAAAAACATCAATTAAACATGTTTTAAACTGTTTAAAACACGTTTAAAACGTTTTTTTTACCAACCCTGGTTTGTATGCAATTTTATGTTCAATTTTATTTGCTATATATTTGAATTTTTCTGAAATGTTTTGCACATAAGGAATTAAAAAATATTTTTTACTATTATTAATACAACATTATTATTATCAAATTTATTAATACAACATTATTAATATCAAATTTATCATTATCATATAGGTTTTTTCTTTTCGATAATTTTTTTATTCTGCAATTTATAGTAGAAAAGATAGTTTCTAAAGGATAGCCATTTTTCAATAAAATATTTATCAGATCTGTAATGTTTTTTTCGTGATACTCTGGATGCGATAAAAAGATGATTTTGTCAAAGAGACTAATTATTACCCCTCTCTTATGCTCCTCAGGATGGCACGATTTATAATTTAAATATCGACCCGAATTAGTCGGTTTCTTATAATTATTGAACCTTATTTGTTTGTCCTTCAGTATAACGACACATCTAAAAAATTCACACAACCATCATCATTTTCTTCAACCGTAAATTTAATTCTGTCGTGATGCGAATTGAATAAACCCAGCACATTATTTATTTGAACGTCAGGAAGAGCGACTAATATGTCATTCACATAACGATAATATAACGGAACCTTAAATTCTAAACTGTTCATTACATACAATTCCAAATCTTGGATTACTAAGTCCGCTAAGATCGGTGACAAGGGGGAGCCCATTGGCATGCCAAATATCTGTTTAAAAAATTGATCATCGAATTTGAAATATGTAGAATTTAATATAAACGTAATGGCTCCTAAGAATTCATTAATTGGAATTATTGTATTCTTTGAAATATCAACCCATCTCTTTTTGATACTCTTTAATACTAATTCTTGTAACATATTCGTATACATCGAAACTATATCAAAAGACACGATTTTATAGTCCGAATTTAATCTCATTCCATCTAATTTATTAACTAAGTCAAAACTGTTTTTGATATAACCGATACTTTTATTAATACTTTTATCAATAATTTGTTTTAAATAAGATGGAAGCTTATAAAGTGGATTATTAATACAATTCACTATAATTCTTAACGGATTCCCTTCTTTATGAACCTTCGGCATAACATATGATCTTGCCACCGTTCCATCAGTGACATTCAGATTTTTGTAAGTTGATAGATTGATGAATTCGCTCTCTTTCCATTTACTTAATAACTGATGCGTTTGTCTAGTTAACATCTTCGTCGGATCTTTATTAATCTTAATATACGTGTTATCATCAGATAATAAAACATGCACTTTCCTTTTGTATTCTGTCAAATTCATTACTACAGTCATATTCCCCTTATCAGCTTTTGTAATTAATATTTCTTTATGCTTGTCCACACAAATTGCTTCACTTCTTTCATTCCGTTTTTTATTAGATCCATGTCACATTTATTACGTACTACAATATTATGTGACATTTTGTTAAGAATTTCAATGCTATCATTCCTAATAGTATTACGAACACAGTTATCCAGACCAAAGGTATTATGTTCTATATGTTTGATAAATTCTGTGATTATTCTGTCATTATCTGTTTTACTGTACGGAAGATTAAATTTTTGCCCAAGTTGCAATACTAACACTATTAGGAATCTCCACATTACTTAAATTGATTAACCAATTTTCATTGATATTGTCCAATGAAAATTTCTCATTAAAATTGATAGGATTAATGTTAACTTGATGTAGAAAAAGATTATTACTTTTCTCTATTATTTGTGAGGATATCTTTTCTATTTTAGCCGGAATGAAATCTGTATCAGCATTAGTGGCTTCTGACCGAAGTAAATCAAACTTAATAGGATTTATACTACTCTTTTTTGAATATTCTGAACCTACTCTTAAATTTTTAAATTTATTGTTTATTCTCTTATTTTCTTGCCATCATGTTTTGTTCATAATAAATTCTTATCTACTAAAAAAAGAGGAAGATACATGTTCAGGCAAAGCGTGCCATATTAGTCTTTGATGTCTAAATAGGATTATTTTTTAAATGGAACAAACACTTATAAGTATCCTGCAATTCAAAATATGTAATATAATGAAGTAACAGTATTAGGCTTAATTAAAATATTATTAATATTCGTAAATGTAAAAGTACATTAAATTTCAATACGCTTAACTTAAAAGTACTGTAAACTTAAATTTCATTAATATGTACATTAATAGTTATTTTAATTACGATTAATTAAATGTCATTTATATCCGTAAATGAAAAGTATATTAAATTTCATTACACTTAATTTTTCAGTTACTGTAAACTTAAATCTCATTAACATGTGCATTAATAGTCCTTTCAGTTACAGATAAATTAAACTTCATTCGCCAACGTACATTAAAAGTTAATGAAATTTAAGAACATTTCTAACAGTGTAATATATAGTAATATATATAATATATGACGTTCAAATAATGTCCTTGAGATGTACTTTAGATATTTGACATAATATACAGCGACATAATATACAGTATCGTGCACGCGATCATTTAATATATAAATGATCGCGTGCACGATACTGTAGAACGTTCAGAAACTAGTATCATAAAAAGGTCTCCCGAGAATATATATAGAATATATATAGAATATATATATTCTCGGGACATCCATGTTGTGTGGGATTTGAAATTACCAAATATTGATTTATAGTTCCCATTGGAAAAGTCAAACAAAACATTTATTCAATAAAACTTTGTTAAATTTAAAACGTAAAACCAAAACCACTAACAAAGATTCCTTAAAATTCAAAAAACTTAGAAGAAAGGGTAATAGGAGTCAGGCGTAGATAAAGTTACGCAAATTCCAAAAATATAGGAAGTAAAACTTCTTTATTACAATAAAACACTCTTCAGTCAAGAGTGTTTGGTTGTAATAAAGAAGTTTTACTTCCTATATTTTTGGAATTTGCGTAACTTTATCTACGCCTGACTCCTATTACCCTTTCTTCTAAGTTTTTTGAATTTTAAGGAATCTTTGTTAGTAGTTTTGGTTTTACGTTTTAAATTTAACAAAGTTTTATTGAATATAAATGTTTTGTTCTTAAATTTTCTGTGCGTCAAAACATACAATGTATTCTTAATAATAAACTTTAAAACAAAATTATTCGAGAAACGCAACAATTATATGAGTCAAGATACCAAAAACCTTATTACATGTTTCGACCTTTGATCAGGCCATATTCAGATAAAATATTTAAATATTGTGAATATTAAACTGAAATAATACGTATATAATCAAATAAAGAATATTCCTCTCCAGGCATGGTAACTCGTTGATAGCAAACGATTGTCCGATCGATTGTATTATAATGTCATAATATCTATTGAAATAGACCTTTCTTAGTAATAAGACCAGGATGATAATATCGTTAAGCCAAAAAACACTCAGACTTGGTAATGCAAAAGTTAGAAAAAATGGCGTTAAATGTATATAATGACCAAATTTTGTTTTACTACAGATATGTAGATGATTTGTATGCCGCGGTTCCATCGTCTAAGGTTGACTTGTTATTTGAAAGTTTTAATTCCATCCATTCACGATTACAATTTACCCTTGAGATTTGAGGAAATGAACTTAATGTTTTAGATATAAAAAATGATTATTAAAAATTGTCAATTGAATTTCAATTGGTTTCAAAAACCAACTTTCTCAGGAAGATTCCTTAACTTCCTTTCAAATCATCCAAAGTCTCAAAAAAGAGCAATAATCTTCAATCTAGTTGATAGAGCGTTATTTCTCTCAAGTAAACAATATCATTATGAAAATTTGTTATTTATCATTCATTTATTATTAAACAACGATTACCCTCTAAAATTCATATTTGATAATATAAACAAAAGAATAAAGAACATCATATTCAAAAAATCTAAAGCGGATTTACCAGAAAAACAAAATCAATCACAAGAAAATAAAAATTCATGGATAACTGTTCCTTTTATTCCAACTATTACAGAAAAATTTAATCAATTGAATAAAAAAGATATAAGGGTTGCTTTTCACAGTACTAATAAATTGAATAAATATACATCAAAGTACATAAAAATTCACAATCTAAGCTTTCAAAGAACAATGTCGTATACAAAATCAATTGTAAGAGCTGTGATGCATCATATGTTGGTCAGACCGGTAGACATCTATTAACCAGAATTACCGAACATCGGAATCACATTAGTTGGAATACGTCTACCAGATTACGTGTCCCGTAATCTGTGATTACCGAACACAGATTACGGGAGTCATGACTTTGCTTTTTTTGGGACGATGTTCGAGTATTGGATGAGGAACCTCGTTATAATAGACGTTTAGTTTCTGAAATGCTACATATTAAAAAACAGAAGAATAGTCTCAATTTCCAAACAGAACGGAAGGCTTACATAAAGCATATATACCAATTATAAACAGGGTTTAACATTGAAACGACTTGGCGAAAATTAGTTCTCTCATTTATTGTCTGACTTTCGTACCGAGAGTTTCGTTCGTAATTTAATCGTTTCTGAACAGTATATACACTACAGACAAGAATGTATAACTCGCAGTGTGTAATATTTTTGCATTGTATTGACAATTAGTACAACTCGCAGTGTAAAATAGATTTATATATTTTATTGACAATTAATCACATAGAGAAGAAGTACTTCTTTTCCGGTATGTTATGGTGAGTGTTTTTTGGCTTAACGATATTATCATCCTGGTCTTATTACTAAGAAAGGTCTATTTCAATAGATATTATGATGTTATAATACAATCGATCGGACAATCGTTTGCTATCAACGCGTTGCCATGCTTGGAGAGGAGTATTCTTTATTTGATTATATACGTATTATTTCAATTTAATGTTCACAATATTTAAATATTTTATCTGAAGATGGCCTGATTAAAGATCGAAACATATAATAAGGTTTTTGGTATCTTGACTCATATAATTGTTGCGTTTCTCGAATAATTTCGTTCTAAGATTTATTATTAAGAATACATTGTATGTTTTGACGCATAGAAAATTTAACAAAGTTTTATTAACTTTTATATGTCTTTTTCTCTCATATCTGTACTTACTGATAAGAAAAGAGTCCTTTACTAATTTATTTTTAATTTTATTTTTAAAACATTTATTCTCATAGAATGCATCCATACACTATTGGTTGGATAATGGTTGTCCACCTAAAAAACTAATCCTTGGAGTGCCATTCTACGGCAGGACCTTCACTCTCGCCAATAAAAATCAGAATGGTCTTGGAGCCCCTGTCACCGGACCAGGAACTGCCGGTCCGTACACTCGCGAGGGTGGCATACTTGGATACAATGAGATTTGCGAGTTCTTTAAGCAGGGCGGTTGGACAATTGTTCGTCAAGAAGAGCATCGCATTCCATATGCTTATAAGGATAATCAGTGGATTGGCTATGACGATATAACGTAGGTATTCTACTGATGTGACTGTTCTCCCTTTTATTTATTAAGGGCATTTTAAAGTATCAACTAATTATTGACATTACGTTACATTATTAGGTTAAAAATACTCCTAATTAGCTGTACAGATTGTAAAATCCTTCTAAATAATTAAAGTATGCACAAACATATATAAGATGGCCGGTTTAACGAGAAAATAGAAAAAAAGATTTTTAAAAATGTGCATTGACACTAAATGTAATGTTTTTTTAACTTTTTTCTATTTTCTTGTTATATCAACCGTCCCGTAGTTTTCTATTCGTACTTTAATTGTGTAAAAGAGTTTTACAATCTGTACACTCAATTTGGAGTTCTCTTTAATCATTAATGTCGAAAATTCTGTCATTTTCCTCTTATTTGTTCTATATAAAAAGGAACTATTAGATAATATTCTAATTCAATTCCAAGAATGGATTTGAACACGGAGAAAACCCGCGAAACACAAGATTGTCATATAGGAACTATTAGAATTATTAAGAAATATATATCATTCAGAACTATACAGAGAACTACAGTAATGTCATGCAGTATTATAAGATATTATTACTCATTACTATTGAAAAAATGAATAGTTCACTATTGGAGCGAATAGTAATTATAGGCATTAACTATTCATTACTATTAAGGTAGTAAGTAATTTAATATAATGGAGCGAACAATAACTTAGTTTTTCTCATAATTTTTTCAAAACAAATTTTAAAAAACAATATAAATTTTTTAATCTGTTATTTTTTATCAATGATCTCTATGGTATACATGAGGCAACGTTTATTAATTCTAATTTCTTATTATATTTTAACTGTTTTTACTTATTGAGTTTTATATCTGTAGACTGTACAGGGTGGCCCCGAACGTTTCAGCCAAACTTCGAGATATTATAAGAAATTTAATTCTGAATAAAAGATTTCCTATCAACATAGGTCGAAGAATGTTTCTTTAAAAAGTTATCGCTCAAAAATCTCTGCGTGAAATAAGGATTATTTTATACATTTTTATAAATATCAGGAAATGTATGCTTTTTAATAAAAAATACCAAAACGAGAGTTGTAGTGAATTAAATTATCTTTCAAATGAGACCAAAATGATTGTAGTGTATTCCATAGGTTCGAGATAATTAATTTCGATAAACTTTTATATTTTAGGGGACCTCTTCGATAACCTTGACCTTGACATATGTTATAAAGGTGAAGGTACTGATCAACTTTTCGAGTAAGATATTTAGATTTTCACCTTATTAAATGACTCCTTTTTATCAAGGGAAATGAAAGTCGGATGCCCCTGAAGCAGGGGAGAAGATGGACTGAGAGTCGCTTCGCGTGGAAGTCCCGTGCCCCCCTAAGCAGGGGGAGGGGGAGGTGGGGTGGAAGTCGCTTCGCGTGGAAAGTCGTACATATACGATATACAGAAAATAATGAAATTTTGAAAATGAGCTTTATGTAAATATATCTCGAAAACTATAAGAGACCATCAATTAATTTACAAGGAAAAGTTGATCAGTATCCTCACCTCTATAAAGCCGGTTCTACATTAGTTGCAAGCTGATCGCAAGTTCGTTGCGACAGCCAATATAAAGTATTGATTTCAAAATGCAAGCTTCAGATTGGCTGTCGCAACAAACTTACGATTGACTTGCAACTAATGTAGAACCGGCTTAACATATGTCAAAGTCAAGGTCATCAAAGAGGTACACGCTAATGTAGAGAAATACCTCATCAGTTTTAAATGTAAAAAAAGTGTTTTTTTTTTGCTGTCGACAGTAAAAACTTTTTAAAGATATTCTTCAAGTTTATTCTTCATATTTATGAAAAATAAAACGAAGAATAGGAGGTAAAAAGAACATTATAATTTCTTGGAAAAAATCAGAGTATTTTTAAAAAGCTTTACCGTCGGTAGCAAAAAGAAAACACCTTTTTATATATTTGAAACTGATTATCGCGAAACTTATAGAACGCACTGTAATAATTTAAGGGCTTCACACATGAAATGCATAACAGAGCATAAGCATAACATAAGGCCGCTAAACCAATGAGCATCTTATGTAAATCAATATGGCGACATTATGCTAGATGCTCATTGGTCCAGCAGTCTTATGTTATGCTTATGCTCTGTTATGCATTTCATGTGTGAAGCTCTTTAGGTCTCATTTGAAAGATAATTTAATTCTCTACAACTTTCGTTTCGGAACTTTTTATTAAAAAACGCATACATTTTTAGATATTTATAAAAATGTATAAAATAATCGTGATTTCAGAGGTTTTTGGGCGACAACTTTTTAAGGAAGCATTTTTCAATCAATGCTTATAGAAAACGTTTTGTTCAGAATTAAACCTATAAAATTTCGAAGTCTGGCTGTGAAACATTCGGAGTTACACTAACAAGTAACGCTACCCAAGTGCCATACGCTGATTTTCCTGAGACTGTGCATACATGTAGTACATTGAAAAATAATTGACATGTATTTTTTTATATCTGCCCAAAAGCCGTTTTAAGGGTAGAAAATGTCCTTATGAATGTATAGAGATGAATTCCAGTATTTGACGAAGTACTCGTACGTTTGTTACAGAATGGGGTATACGGTGATTTTCGAAGTTGCTGAATCCAAATCTGCTCCCAATTTTTGAGAATTCAATTTTTTATTTTATTTTTTTTGGATTTTTGAAAAAATTTTTTGTTTATTTTTGAGACTTAAAGTAAACCTATGGAGATATCACTCACTGATTTTAATGAAATTTTGCATATTTGTAGAACTTTGAAAAATATTTGAGACGTATTTTTTTTTATCTGCAATGGTCCACTCTGAAGGGTAAAAACTACCCCTCAAAGGTAAGGGATAGATTTAACATATTAGGTGAAATAAGTTGAAAATTTTAAAAAGTAAAATGTGTTAGAAGGTTTTTGGGGTCGCTGAAACTGAATCTTATGTCAAAAGAATGAAATTCAAAATGGCTGACCCAATATGGCGTCCCGATACATTAAAATTTTTATTATTTTTTATCAAAATGAGTAAATTTTAAGAATTCTTGTCATCACAGAATTAAAATTTCCGATTTTTGGGTCGATGATTTTAAATATGGTGTTAAAGATATAAAATTCGAAATGGCAGTCTCAATATGACAGCTATATACGTTAAAATTTATAATTTTTGCAAAAAATGTGTTGAAACAAGGTCCTCACCTTTCGGGGTGCTTTTTTACAGTGAGTCCCCTTGCCTCTCACCTTTCGGGGTGCTTTTTTACAGTGAGTTCCCTTGCCTTTCACCTTTCGGGGTGCTTTTTTACAGTGAGTCCCCTTGCCTCTCACCTTTCGCACGTTATTCTTGAAAAATTTTGCATATGTAATAATCTGTAAAGAAATGGTTCATGCATAAAGATTTAAAATCGAAAATTTTAATTCTCATTGATGACAAGAATTCTTAAAATTTACTCATTTTGATAAAAACTAATAAAAATTTTAATGTATCTGAACGCCATATTGGGTCAACCATTTTGAATTTCATACTTTTGACATAAGATTCAGTTTCAGCGACCCCAAAAACCTTCTAACACATTTTACTTTTTAAAATTTTCAACTTATTTCACCTAATATGTTAAATCTATCCCTTACCTTTGAGGGGTAGTTTTTACCCTTCAGAGTGGACCATTGCAGATAAAAAAAAATACGTCTCAAATATTTTTCAAAGTTCTACAAATATGCAAAATTTCATTAAAATCGGTGAGTGACATTTCCGTAGGTTTACTTTAAGTCTCAAAAATAAAGAAAAATTTAAAAAAAAAATAAAATAAAATAAAAAATCGAATTCTCAAAAATTGTGAGCAGATTTGGATTCAGCAACTTCGAAAATCACTGTATATCCCATTCTGTAACAAACGTACGAATACTTCGTCAAATACTAGAATTCACCCCTATACATTCATAAGGGCATTTTCTACCCTTAAAACAGCTTTTGGGCAGATATAAAAAAATACGTGTCAATTATTTTTCAATGTGCTACATGTATGCACAATCTCAGGAAAATCGGCGTAAAATAGCACTTGGGTAGCGTTACTTGTAAGAGATCACGCATAAGGAAGAGTGAAATATTCATTTCCCATAGTAAAACGTACAGATATTCGTTATGATTTACTCTACTCTACAGTATTTACTCTACTTATACAGTATGTAACAAAAGTGAGTAAACATGAATATTTGTAATGTTCGAATAGATTTTTCTAAAACTTGAAGTTAGGTACCCTAACAACGGTATAATAGGCAATGTCAGGACAATGACCCTCTATTGTTTTCCATATATTATTCAAAAATTTGTTTTGTCTATTAACACTATAATATCAGATTCATTAGAATACGGTACTTACAGGAGTTCTAAAAGTAAGTAAACATCTTGAGTTCTTATTTTATATTCCGCGTGTTCCTGAAATGTATTTTATATATATTATCTGTGTTATATTATAAATTCATATAATCTATAGCAATCATTTCGGTGTATTGAGATTGTGTTGTTATATTTTTTAAAAATATATTCTTTAAAGGAACTAATAAGGAGCATACAGCCACAACGCCAGTTATAAGTATCACAAATATATTCAATTTAAATCAAGTAAACGTTTCGGTCACTATCTGACCATCATCAGTACAATCAAATTTCATATTAAACAATATATAAATTATCAAACAGAAATTGTACTTGTCAAAAAATTATCGTTCGCAAAAAAATTAATAAAAATACAACGCTCGATAGTAAGAAATCGATCCAGTCCGAACTCAACAAGAATTTTTCAGAAGTAGTTGAACATCAATGTCAATTTGTATCAGTATAATCTGTTCGACGCTATAAATTTGTGTGGAAGATGAATCTGTGACGATTTGGTCGAATACATATGTCAGCAAATATGTGCATTTGGCAATCGCATATTTAAATGGAAATATCTTCTATATTATAACAAATTGACATTGATGTTCAACTACTTCTG